AGGCGGGGGGTGTGTGGTGAAGCTGCCCTCAGGCTGCTGCCCCAAGGTTTCTTTGCCACCTCCACGCAGGACAGGTCAGCGTTTCTGAGAAGAATTAAAGCTTCAGTGTTCTCTTGCACTTGGTGCCCTGTTAGCAGGTGGGATCCCAAAGCCCTGTGAAGAGAAGCTGGTGTCCGGGTGTGTGGGTACTGATTCAAAGGATCAAGAATTCAAACTCAATAGCCAGTGAGACTATCCAGCATGAATTCTTTATTGACACACACGGGGATATTTCCACAGCGTGTGCTCCCCCAGGCTTTGTCTTTGTTCTGGTTCTGTGCAGTCACTACATACATATTTATTCCATTTCCACAGAATAATTATTGTATCTCCTATTCTAAGAACTATTTACGGACTCATTTAACTTTCAATTCTACTGTCTTTATCGCCGTCTACTGTCAGTTCTTCTTTTGGCCGGTCCTGGTGGTCGTCGGATGCCTCTGGCGGTCGTTTACTTCATCACTGCTCTTCCTCTTCTGTCCTTTTGGTGACTTCTCCATTGCTCGGCAGATTTTACCATGGCTGCAGTTCGCTGCTGGCGATGAGGTTCTGCAGTTCCCACAGATCAGGTTCTGCCTGGAAGCAACTGTTCCCCTTTCAGCTACAAGTTATCTTCGTGTGAACCAGCTGTTCTGTCCCACCTTCAGCTGCAAGTTTTCTTTTCTATAGAGTAACTATTGAGCTCAGCTAATTCTGTTCTCGCAGCCACGTTCCCACACTCCGTTGGTGTCTTCCATCAGGCAAATCTGAGCACCACGTGTGGGATCCCGATGACAGCAGTGGTGTTGCTGGCGCTGTCTGCTCAGGAGGCTTTTGCTCCATCAGCTGGCCCTGCAGAAGCCCGCAGGCTTTGGAGTTAGTTCAGCTGCCAGAGCACAAGGCTTTTGCGTTGCATTTTGGGGGTTTTAGAGAAGGCATTTGCTCTGAGAGCAGGCAGGGACCCCAAGTCCAACGTGTGGTAATATTTTGGAGAAATCTGTTTGCTTTCGGGCAAAGGAGGGCAGTGTGTGATCATGTTTCATGAAAGCAAAACTACTTTTGGTTGCTCGGTAGCCAGAGTAACTGATTTATACTTTCAAATACGTTACGTAGGACTTTTTATAAATATTTTTTTAAAAAAGTCCAGGTACCAGTTCTATTTAAAAGCTGATTTTTATCTGGCTGATTTTTATCTGCTGGTTGCTTGGTATTAGACCCCTTCAGGTTTACTCACAGAAGTACTTACGTTACTCATAAGTATTTTCAGTCATTAAATGTGACATTGGAGTTCAGACAGCGGTTTCCGATGCTCCCGGTTGGGGTGCAGGAGGTGTCTGCTTTACCTCTCACTTAGACAACTGTGGCACCGCGGACAAGTTGCAAATGGTTCACAACAAGCAAGGAATCGCCTCGGCACAAATCTGTGCTCTTAGCCCGACACCTGCAAATTAGTTTCTTATTGATTTTAGTTTGGTTTTGAGGGCTTTTTGTAGAGAATCTGTGCGATGACAAAGCGTGAAATGTGTGTTTCGTTCCGTGTTTATTTTCACTTGTTTGTATCTGTGTGATAATGCAGAAGAGCTGTTAAAAGTGGACCAAAACCCACGACAATTAGGACTGAGTTTTACCAGATGTAAACTTGGATCTCGTTTATATAGTTTAATAGTAATCAAAGGCAGCACAATTATGGATAATTTAAACTTCTACAGATAAAGCGAGACTTCTGCATTTAACAGTCATTTAGAACACCCACACTCCACATTTTTCAGGCTCTTGTCTCGCTCTCTTACATAAGGAACTAGAGACTGGTGGGCGACAGTGGGTCTGTTTGTGGATGAGAAGCCTGGAAAGGGGTTGGCATGGGGTTGGTTACGGTTTTGGGAAGGGCCCTGGGGGCAGAGTGGGAGCACAGCGTGACAAAGGGGTAGGTGTATTTTTGAATTAAAATTGGCTTGTGTTTATGCGCTGTTAAACAAGGTGCCTTTGACGCTTCCGGTCCAGGATCCTGTCTGTACAGACTGCAGTCCTTAAATACTACCGTGGGGTCTCACCATGCTCTTGATGTCTCAGTTGTAGATCAGAGTTCTCGGCTCTCAGTGCAGCGTGTCAGGTACAGCTGAGTGTTACTGCCTGGACCCATCTCTCCTTGCCAGCCTCTGAGGGTGCCATCGCCGTCGGGAGCCAGCTGGGCCAGGTGAGCAGGGCAAAGTAACGTGGAGCTGAAACTTCCTTGCGAAAAAGACCGGCACAGATTAAAACCGAGTACAAGCAAATCCTGTAAATTTTGGAATAGGAATGTGACTCCATTGGCCTCCTTTCCATAAACTTGGTTGCTGTTTCAAATTCATTGCTGCTTCGTTGAGCCTTGCTTTGAGAACAGCAGCGTTCGGAAGATCTTGGGCTCTGGGGCGCAGGGACTCCCACCAACACCCGTGAGCTCGGCGTCAGCTCATCTCTAGCGGCTCTAGAAGCATTTCGGCTGGCCTGCTGCATGCAGCCTCGGAAGGTGGGTTGATGGGAAGCAGCAGGGGTGGAAAGCTGGACTCCAGGACGGGTGATCTGGCCATGTGGATCCGTAGGGGTACGTGCCAACAGCCTGTCGCTCACTGGCCACCGCGCTGCGTGCCGGCTTCCTGCCCACTGCTTGTGCTGCCTCGAGGGAAGGCCATTTCTGTTTCTGTTGCCCTTTTTTTTTTTTCCCTTTTGCACAGTAGAAATTAGTGTAATAAAATGGAACACACCCTTTTGGAAGGGCAGGGTGATGCGTAACAACAGATTCTTCCTGTTCCCCTTCCCTCTCTGATTTTATATTCTCTTGTGTGCTGATGAGCCCACATGGGCTCTGCTACCAGTGAGACAGAGGACAAGGGACACTGCCTTTAAAATCTTCACTATGTCTTTTGGCTGATGATGTCAAACTAATACTGGGTGTGACATATACACCCTTCTGGAGATTCCCATCTTAGGCAAAATTCACTATGGTTTATCTTCTTTTTTTTTTTTAATTAGGATTATTTTATGGCTCTTGGCCAGTTCATCTTTGTCATCTTATCTTTGAGACAGTCTGTTTCTTCCTTACTGTCACTTAAATGCAATCAGCATTCTGTAGAATCAGCACAGGATTTTCCTTTCACCCTCCTAGCTAACGCCAACTCGTTCATGGACGTTACGTTCAACACTAATATGTTTGTTACGGACCTTTACAGAACCAGTCACCCTCCAGTGCTGGCGAGGGGAACTCGACAGGGAAACTGTCCATGAGCTGAAGGACTTGACAGGAGTTTCTGAAGTGATTTGCAGTACAGGTGGGTATCTGGTCTGGTCTTTGTATTTGTTCAGTAAAATATTTGGGTTTAAAAGTACCTGCCTTTTCCCTGTTGAAAAACTTTTTTTCTGGTTGGTTATTAGCAAGTGTTACTACATACCTACTCTGGTATAAGCCAGTTGCTGTCCAAATATATGAGGAAAAAAAAAAAAAAGCACTTCTTGCTCTCGAAGGTTCGTGTTCCCAGGCAGAAAACCTGTTTTTTCCAAGGCTCTAGGAGAACTCCTTCCCCTCTCAGCCTAATCTGTTTTATCTGCTGGTGAGACACTCTGTATATTTATATACTGAGCAACTGGAGTACATCTGTTTCCATTCTTATCGAACACAAATATTTGCTGCAGGCCTGATCCAAGGTCTGCCCAGATCCACGGTTCTCTTGAAAAAGTAACTTAACCAAGACCAAGCTTCTATTTCTTTTTCCACTTTAAATTTAGTTGCATTATGGGATATTTTATTAGCTACTAAGTATTTTTTTAAACCAAGGGAAAAAAGGCCAATCCATTACTTCTTTCCTTTACTCACCACCTCAGCTGTGCAGACTCTCTCATGCACTTGCTCAGGTGTAGGTGCTGTCAGTGAGGAAACCACAATATGTCTGGACATTAATTGTCAGTGAGGAATCGAAACACGGAAGTCAATGAGCAATTAACATTATTAAACTTTAATTCCATATAAAAAACATCGCATGTGGCACAGCAGTTGACAGATTTTTGTTTGTCTCCGAGGGCAGCGTCGTACTTTGGGTAAAGAGGGCAAGAAGAGAGGCAGCGCGGGCGTGAGGAGCTATTTCTGTGCTAAATAGCAGAAATAAATAACATGGGGAACGTGAGCTTTTGAGAGCCTTGCCCTTTGCAAGCCGCAGAGTCAAGATTCGGGGTGTTGGTACTGCCTCTCCCTCTCTGGTTTGGTGTGCAACACGCGGCACCGACTGACATCTCTTTCTCCCTCTTTCCCAGCCCTGTCAGCGAGCGTTTGGGCAGCAAGAAGGGTTAAAGTCACAACGTGGCTTGAAACTACTCTGCTTCCCTGAGGCTAGGTGCCCAGTCCTGGATTTAGCAGTCTGATTTCCCCACGCTGTCCCAGGAAAAAGCGTCCGTGGGTCTGAGAAGAGTGGGAAAACACAACCGCAGCTCGGGATTGTCACGTCATGTTCTGCGGTGCCGGGAGGGAGGTGACACGAGCGAGAACAAAAATGACAACAGCAGAATGACAGGGTGATTCGCCTGGGATAAAAAGGGTGTGGAAACCCTACCATTTGTATCTCATAAATATCAATATATAAATAACTTCTCCCAGGAATGACATTTAACAGCGCTCTGCGTTGCCGTAGAGGCACCTGGTGAATTTATTATGGGAATTGCTGCTCTCAAAGTCCGACCGCTGACCAGCGCTCGCCCGCTGTGCAGCTCCGTTATCTGGGCAGCGCTTGCTCCTCAGGCAATAGCAACGATGTGGGTCTGCTTGTGGCAGGAGGTGAGGGAGTCCCTGTTACACCTCCAGTAGAATTTAGGAGTGCAGCAAAGCACCATAGACATGAGCAACCCCAAAGTGAGCACGAGACAAATTACCCATTTGATCAGCCCCGAGTACATGAACGGAAGGATGAGGATGGTGAGGATCACCACGAGCAGCAGGAGCAGCACGAGTCTCTGCACAGCCAGTCTGTTGTCTGCAGGAACATTTTCCTCTCGGTATAAAGCTTCTTGGTGCGTCGGGGTCCAGCTGCTGCTGTCCAGCCCTGCGGCGGAGATGTGTACCTCAGGATGGGAGTCGGGGTTTTCCAAGTGCTCCATGACGTCCTCTTTATTTCGGAGCGTGCGGATGAGTCCTCCTGACACGGGGGTGGCTTTTCTGCACAGCGGGCAGGTGATTATCCAGGTGGTCTCTTCTTTCCTGAGGATGAGCTTGAGGCAGACGGCGCAGAAGGCGTGCTGGCAGTCCAGGAGCTTCGGCACTCGGTAGATGTTGTACTTGTTGAAGCAGACTAGGCAGTCCAAATCAACGGTCACGGTGGCTGGACATGGGTGGTTCATCTCAAAACTGCACGCGTCGGGAGGGTCTGAGGTGGTGAGTGTGACGAGAGGCACCGAGTTTGGACAGTCTCCTTCTGAAACGGTGAGTTTCGAGGCATCGGGACTATCCCGCTCGGCGCCAGAAGGGCTTTCCATTTCTTTAGTGAGTTCTTCAGCGAGTTCCAGCCTCTCCGCGTCTGCAGCATTTTCTCTTGGGGGTCCCGCTCGGCTCATTTCTGCAGCATCTTCCGCCGGGGGTGCGGGACCATCCTTTCCAGCTCCGGGAGCCGTCGCTCTGTTTTCAGGGTTGAGCTCGTCGCTGGATTTCTCCATGGAGATAAACCTCGGTGCGGTTTGTCTTCCCTTAACTGAAGGCTTTGCTGAGATTGTGGCTCCTTTTATGTGTTCCTTTATTCGTGATTGATTAGTGACAGTCAGAAGTGTGTTGTGCTCTTACAATACGATGTTTTTATGAGGTGGAGACCCGAGTTAACCATTAACTTTGTGGCCAAGACATTTTACGACGGCTGATAACATCACTGAGCAATTCCCGTCCAGAAGCAGACCCCGTGGCGTTAGCAGGCTGCACCTCCCATCACTGTAAGAGCCAGACACTACCATTATTACTAAATTAGTACTTTATTTGTTGAAAGCAATTTCATTGGTCTTTAATCCCTGCTTTCACGGCCAGTGACGGATTCGCTGGAGGTATCCACCGTTCACATCGGCGTGCTGAATGCAGCACGTTCCTTAGAGCGTCACCGATGTTGTGTGCTCTGGGTAGGAATTCTGCTCCGGCTTTAGCCATCCTTGCCGCTCTAAAGCACAAAGTGAAAAACGAGATTGAGATAGTTAACATCAAGTGTTGAACGGCCAGTTATTATCAGCTCTGTTATCCTTGGAGCAGCCCTGGAGGTTTCAGTCACCAGAGGGCTTCGAGTGCGAACTGGCAGTAACTTAGGGTCACGCAGAGATGTGGAAATTAAAAGCAAGGTCCCTGTCGTGGAAGGACCATCTCCTTTTTCATGGTGTTTGCAGAACAACCTCCCGCACTCAAGGACCATGTAGGTGGTTCTGTGAATATTCAGCTCTTCTGGGAAAAAGAAAAAAAAAAAAAGCCTGAACAAAATCCCTCAGTCTCTTAATTTCTTTTTATTTGAGGGGTAAAATACAATTTCTTGCTAAAAATCCTGTGGAAAGGGGGAAGGTAGAGAGGAAGGGTTGCTCATCCCAGCGAGCTGGACTAGGTCAGTAGACCAAATGCTCAGGCGGTGCCACCTCCTCCTGGCCTCTCCCCCCACATACAGAAACCAAACGCGGGAGGGCAGGGAGGTCGGGAGGGCTCTGATCTCCTGATTAGAGTGAGGGTGCGGGTGAGGAGAGCTTGTCCTTCTTTGCTGAGAAACAGGAGAAGCAAACTTCGTCAAAGAGCCTGCCGACGTGGCACGTGGCAACGTCTGCTGGACTTTGGAGTGACCCCGGATTTTAGGATCGCTCCGTTGCAGGAGTGGGACGCGCAGCTGAAGTGCCAAAAACGCCTGGAAGTGGGACAGGGACCTGCAAGGCTCCGTCGTGTCTAGAAGTAGGAGAGTTTTCTATTGCATTTCAGCTTTCTTACCAAGTTAACGCAGTTAAAAAGGCAAGATGTGGGCAAGCAGCGGGCAGGGGTGGGGGTTTGGTTGGGGTTACCCCTGCCGCTCTCGCAGCGCTTCAGAAGTTTCCCATCTAGCCTGACGCCCCCCACGTCCAAAATAGAAACATCTTAAAATTTACAGGTTCCTAATCGTTAGAGCAGCATGAAAGTGGTTTGTAGATGTTGGGGAGCTGGAACACGACGCCGAGTCGGGGAACTACGCTCCGAGCTTAAAAACTTTCCAAGTAGGCGTGGAATTGTGTCCGAGGACCTGTCCTGAGCTGGGCTGGCTTTTGTCCTCGGTGTCACAAGTGATGTTCACTGGATTTAACTGAAGGACCTGTAGCCCTTCAATGGCTAATTGCTGCTCATC